GATCAAACAAACACCATGGTGTGGGATATCATCGAGCCTTGGCCTTTTCACTAGTGTGTGACCTGAAGAATGCAATCATTCACATGGGTAAAACCTGCTGCAGTTACAGTCATCTCAAACACACACACGCACCAAACAGCAGCCGGGCATCGCTGAGAAATCTGGAGTGATGTAATGAATCATTAAGATTAGAGTGGTGTTGTGTGTCAGGGGAACAAAATTGAAAAAAAAAAAAAAAGGAGCACTTGGACATTACAGGGCAGTGATGATATAGACTGTTATTATCAATTAAACCAGCCACATTTCATAGCAGCTGAGCATGACATGATTACTGCTTACTTGTTTTATGTCACAGGAATAACAAACAAGTTGAGACCAGACATAAGCAAGTTTTTAAAAGGAACGTCTGTTGTGCCTGTCACATTACGCAACTAGTTTTAAGAACACTGTGTACCACACACTGTGTTTTAATATAATTAAATTGCCAGTGCGACAGAGACAATTACACCCTGTCTTCAGGAAAACACAAATGAAAATACAAACACATGTTATATCTTTAGTTTCTGCCTTAATAAAATCTAAATGCTGACAAACTGCAGACAGGAAGGTCTGGAGGGTACGACCAATCAGGTGCCAGTATCTTAGTTAGAAAAGGTTGTCAAATATGCAGTAAGGTAATTAGGCCTTACCTGTGCATTATATCTAATGAGTATCAATAAACATACTAATTGTAGAGACAAAAAGCAGGAGTGGTGATACAAGATTAAATCCTAAATACGTCTGGACAGCATGTCATGGATCAAAGGAGCTCTGAGGACATTGTACTGTCTTTTTTAGAAGGAACTCTTTATACCAGTGTATGACGTACATTACACACTAGATGTTAAGTGAGTGAACTGAATTATTTTATTTAGTCTGAACTGAAGGCCATGGAATGTACTATAAATTATGTAAAGTGTTTATTCATTTATCACTATTTTTGTAGTTACATGTTATTAAACAGTGAATGAGAACATCAATCATGTGCAGTGTGAAAGGACCTTAAAGAGATTATATAATACAAGGAGAAAACATTGTCAGTATATTGCTGCTTTTTATGATTTTAATATTAAACTACTAGATCAAACAGTGATTAAAGCCATGCATGATTTGTTTCTGGTTGTTAGGGGAATGAAGGAGTCACTGAACTGGTCTAAGCACCCAACACCGCAGTAAGGCTTCCACTGTCCCTTTGTTTCTTTAAATAGGATGAGCTGTGTGTGTGTGTGTTTGATCAGTCATCCGTCCCGTATCCTCACTACCCTGTTACATAACACCACTACACCTGCATCTTAACAGTTCCTTTAACAATGGCAGAGGTGGTGCATGTGTGTATATAGCATATCCATGAATGTGCTTATATTTGCCTGAATGATTTAAAACTATTCATGTATATGACCACAGCCGGGATTTATTTTGCATTGTGTTTCATCACATTTGGCACGCACAACATAAATGCACATCAGCACACACATGAACAAGCAGGTTAAAAAAACACATGATCTCATTATGAATGTCACTAATGTTAATATGAACTGAAAGTGTGCACATGTACGTAAAATGTGCACACACACGCACGCACACACACACACACGCACACACACTTCCCCAGGGAGAGGAGATGAGAGGTGAGTACAGGACAGGAGAGTGGCTCCCACACTGCTGAACATACAGTCAGTAACACCAGTGGATCAGATGACAAGCTTCAGCCAACACACACTCCTATTCACACACAAGCTCATGCAGTATGCACAGACTTGAATCACTTTTTTTTTTTAAAGCCCATACACTTCTTGCACACTGCAGGGTCACATATGTTCTGATGCTCTACCTTGGGAAAACCTATGGCTCTAATTGTTTCAGTGACTTTATCCGTTAATACCTGAGCATAATGATCAACTTCTACAAACAACTAGTTACCCTTGCAGCCTTGGCCAGGTGGAGTAATATACACACACACATACAAGGTTTATAAGACATAAGACAACAGTACTCATGTCTAGATATTGAGCCAGCATTTCTTAGCCAGATTATTCCCAAAGCAGAGGTCTCAATTACAAGCTATTAAAGCCCATGAGCATATCTGACTTATTATACTGTAATACAAAGGAGATTAACTTTGCACATACTGTTTCTGTGAAAGGATGCCACAGAGAGACAGTATGCGTGTGCGTGTGTGTGAAAAACAATTTTTGCCATTATTGTTTGTTTCATGTATCAATTTGAAGAATGTTAAAAGAGCAGCTGCAAAAATATACAAGATATAAAATACATGCAGCAAGAAGCATGCAATTTAAAATGTTCTTTATGTTGGGAGAGTACAAGTTTGTGTTCAGTTGTAAAAGACTGCACGTGTGTCTCTTTGGCAGAATACTGGTTGAGCTAGTTACCTGTGCACTGTCATCTGGAAAACGTGTTTTCCTCCCTGCTAGCCTGTCTATCAATGTGCTGTGCACTCAGCAAGTATTCAGCCCCCTCACTTTTTTCACATTTTATGTTGCAGCTTTATGCTAAAAATCATTTAAATTAATCTTTTCCCTCATCAGTCTACACATAGTACCCCATGATGACAAAGCAAAAACTGAATTTTTTATTGAAAGTGAAATATTCTGTTTGTAGACTAAGTGTGTTAAGATTCAATTGAATCTAAAAATCATAAAATAGCTATAGAATGCACGCTGTACTACTTCACCTAACCTAACAGGTTCAAGTCTGACATATGCACAGTAAATGGTTACTGGTTATGGTTTAATTCAAGTCTAATAAGATTCTAATAAAGAAAAGAAATAATTGAGTTGAAAAGCCAAATAACAGCATCCAACTTATCTACTTGCTTTTTTGTTTTCCTTCAGTAATTGTCCTTGACAGCGATAATACAAATAATTACTAATGGATGCATCGCATAAAGACTTCCATCCTTTTCCTGCAGGTATCCTACGTTTACTGTAAAAAAAAAAAAATGAATCCCTGTCACCTCTCTTCGCTTCTGTACTTTGAATGAACTTCAAACACTTCTCCTGATGTGACCTCCTGTATAAATCACAAAGAGAGGAAAAGTAATTCCAGGCTGTGTGTGTCAGGGCAAGCAGATACTGTCCATCACTAAGGTGGTGAAGACAGGAGAGCTTAGCTCATCTTCCTGTACATGTCAGTTGCATTTCCTTATTTCCCACACATAGAAGGAACAAGTGCACATCACTGACTACTCTGTAAATATATATTCCCTAAAAGGCATGTGTATATATAAACAAGTTGTCCTGTTAGTAGTAGAGATGTGTGTACCTCCCATGAGATTATTGGGAGGGGCATATTGTGGAGAAGGTGTGTAACTTACTAAACAGGAAACTACAGGTCTATTTTAGTGCTGTGGTGTACCCACCCTGCCCTGCTGTAAAATACTATGGAAAACACAACAGGATGGGTTATCTCTCTCTGTCTCTCTGTCACTCATACACACTCATCTCATAAACCCATTAGAAAGACCATAAACACATCAGTGTGATCCATTTACCATTAGTCTTTACACACAGGAAAAACACAAACCAGAGAGTCTGATAATCACATGAGAATGTGAGAAGCTTTTGTTTCAAACTTTCATCATAGTAAAAAATATTATGACTAGAACATGGTTATCAGTGGTGAACTGCCCAGCCTTGCTTTAACAATACTAGTGTGGTGACAGGTTGTTTTTCAGCTGAGCAAATGAATACAATGATTTTTTTTTTTCTAACCATGGTGCTGTTTACCTACACTGTATTTCCAAATATCACACATTGGCAAAAACCTTGACAGGTTTCAGTTACCACTGTGCAGTGTCTTCTGTGGAATGGGCATGGATCAAATGTTTAGCATTACATAAAAAACTTACTTCTTACTAATTGACACAACAGATGCTGATCAGCTCACTTGGAATTTTATGGTTTAACAAAAGCTGAAAGGAAACTAGCAGTTCCTGTTGCAGCTGTTGGATTGATCAGTGGGAAGATGTTTGATGTGGGGCGTCACTGTCTGTAAAATAAACACACTTCCTACAAGCAGATCCTCAAACCAGATTAACACAGATTTACATGTTGCTCGTTTGATAGTGTGAAACTTGATATGGTCTGTGATGTGGTTTTCTCTGCTTAATATACTTACTTTGAGCCGGACCACAGCTTTCTGCGACATCCGTCATCAGTCAATAAAAGGGCTTATTTGGCAAGTTTGATCTCGTTAATTACCAGCAAGGTTCTTCCAACTTCCTACCTACTTTGACAATTCAGCTAATCCATTGAAAACTCCAACAAATGTATTTTATATGACTTAGCAAAAATAGATTTGACAGAATAACGATTTTTGTGATTTTACTAAGACAAAAAAATTATTATTTTTTGTATAATTTCAAAAATGCTTTTCTGTATTGTGTGAATAAATAACGTGTATACACCAATATAAACAATGTGTTTTCATCAACTACAATATTATAAAATTCCCTCAAGTCACTTATTAGTGTATAAATTATTCATGCTAGATATATAGAGCTAGAACAGCACAACTAGTTCCATGTCTGGCTAAGCCATAAGCCAGTGTAAAGGTACAGACAGATACAGATGGGAGCAGATTACAGTTCCTGGGATATGAGCTGAGATTCATCTGTTTGATGAGCTTTTACACTCAATACATATGAGCATTTTATGGTTTTGAATGATTTGTATTGTTTCATGTAGCATCTTCAGTTTTAATAACTATGTTTTGTGGGCCTTCACTTAATCTGAGCAATGCACACATTAGTATGCAGCACAAGCATTTGAGGTTCAGTGATGCATTAAGTCAAAAATCACAGCAAGTCTTTGAAAATATAATATAGGATAAATTTGTTTAGTCCCAGCGGGCGGAGATTAAAATGAAAACGGCAAACTAGTATTGGAATTAAATTGTTAATTTCTTGCCCTCGGGCTGTGTGGGTTGTGCTTAATACTTACGACTGTCACCACTTTCAAGGAACCTCCTGTTCTGGTTCCAGAATCTGTCATGTGGAATTACAGAGCTTACATGAAGTGGGGTGAGTGACATGGATGGGTAGAACAGGTCCCATGATGGCTGCCTGCCTGCCTACTCAACTTGTTGGCTTATTCTTGTTCTTCAACTTCTGGCAGTGTCATGTGGGACTTTGTCCAGTTCACACAGCACTTACTTATCTATTTGACAGTGTTGGATAAAATTCATTCACTTACTTGATGAAAGCCATCCTGGTTGTGTTTTGCTGCTTGTGTTGCTCGTCGCTTTGAGAGGGACTGGATGATGGAGGAGTTGAAGACGGGATGGAGGACAGTGGAGGAAGGGTAGAGGAACGGAGCGATGAAGGGAGGATAGAGGAGGAAGCAGGGGTCTTGCTTGATGAGTTCTTTCCATTTCGTAAAAGACGGAGGGACTTGACTCTGATGTTGTGGTTACTATGATGACGGGCCACCTTGCCAACGGGTCCAGTGCCTGCCCTCTTGAAGGTTTGCTCTGATCTGGAAACAAAAAGACACAAATTTATAATTAAACTTTGTAAATGTTGATAAAATCATTCATCAATTGAAGGGTAACTGGACAAGCAATAAAGGCATGATACGTAATAAATGTATCAGATTATAAATTGATTTATACAGTAGCTACCCAAATAAAAGAAAAAAATCACCTACACAATTCAGTTTTTAAAAGGAAATATCTGCTGATGATTTTGAAATCACTCCTACATTTATCTTTGCATTTCCTATAGGTGCCACGCCACCATGGGATGTAACAAGAACTTGAGCCAGCAAGGACCTCAACGTTTGGGCGGTGAATAACGTCTGTGCTCTTGAAACTTTCTAGAAATATATTTTTTTTGTATACTCTTCTTTTTTCCGTAAGATGGAGCACCTTTCGCTGCAGTTGTATTTGTATTGATGATATGGATAATATGCATAAAGAGACTTAAATATAGAAACGTATCACATCCAAATTTCGGCCATGTTAAATGTTTCCGAATTCAAACCCCACGAATGAATAAAGAAACAACAGCAATAACAGGAGAACAATATGTTTCCCTCCATCATCACCTCCCAGAGTGTTGTGATACGCTCTTTATCCTCAGGTGCAGGCCTACCATTATACCACCTGCATAGTGGCTACTGCATTGCGGAGCAGGGATGGGGGTAGGGTAACGCTCAGCAAAACACACAAGAGGATGGGAGCATTGCTAATTCTGTAAGAATCTGAAGCAGGAAATGATAAAGAACAGGCACTGATGCAGCATGTATTTTGAATTCACGAAGATGCAATGTGCTGTATTTCATGTACAAGGTAAAGGAGTCCCTCTTCAGTTGCTCCTTGTTAAGAGCTTATTAAGTTCACTACACCAACCACTCTAAGGTTGGCAGGCTTCCACCTATATATAGTGTTACATGTAAATGAATGCACACTATACACACACACAATGATGCATAACAAGTCTGGATAAAAAATACCTAGTATCAAAACTACTATGCTGAAGTACAACAATGCTTCAAATTCAATTCATTCACAACTATTCTTTGTTGCAATATGTAAGAAAACTATTAAGTATTATAAAGTCCCATCAATTAAAAGGATGGCAGGACAACACACAACACAAATTGCTCCTCTGTTATTATACTTTATATACAGTGGTGGGCTATTTGGCCTACGTTCAGGGGCTGGGATTAAGAGATTCATGGGAAGGTGTGTGAGGACATATATAGTTGCATGTTTTATCAAACAAAAAACATATTATACAATAGCTGAGTTTGTAATATATGGAGGTAAAACATGAGAGAGAAATGTATTTCTTAATGCTGAAATGATGCTGATCCAAGGACTTAAAGAACATCTCAAGGCTGACTTTGGGTCCTGCTCTGAAGATACAAACTATCAAAGAGTACAGCGTGCATATGAACCTGCTGAGGCAGGAAGAAGAGCAGGGGGAATTCTGAGAGACAAATGCCACAGAGGAACGTAGAGCATTCCTACTATTGTTTGAATGTTCTCCTCCTGTTGCTCGCTTCATGTTTTGTCTGCTGGTTTCTTAACAAATTCAACATGTCTGACAAATAATTCAAGACAAGATTCCTCAGTGACAAAGACATAGAGACAGCCAGGATACTTAGACAATACAGTACACAAGAGATATGTCACATGGTCATGGTATAATGTCAAGTCACCGTGGTATTCAGGTAGTGTGACCCTTAAGGCTAAGTAAGGGCACCAACCCCTGAACTTTGACCCCTCCAAAGCAGGACCTACTTAGCCAAGTCAGATATGATCTGAGTTCTCAACATGATTTCATTCTTTGATGTTTGCTGTGGCGGCCATGTTAGCTCTCAAATCCTGCTCCCACCCATCTCAAATAAATGCAAGGCAATGCAAACGGAGTAAAATATTTATTTTAGTCTAATTTAGTTTTAAATAAATATGAGCTCTGCCTAGTTGAGCAGAGCTCAGTGTTATCCTGTTTACCAGGAAAACCACATTTAAATTAGTAATGAAAGACAAGACCAAAGTTTAAATGTTTAAATGCCTGCGCAGGATTCTTTCCAGATAAGTAACACAGCTAAATGATTGTATGACCATGGGAAGTATACTGTAAGTTAACTTATCTACATCAATACATCAAATGTAAAAAGTTACTTTATATAGTTTGGTGTCAAACAGTGGATCCCCACTGTTCCTGTTTCTTTGCCCTGGAGAAAACAGAACGGTGATGTAAACTTTGGTCATTTGAAAGATTTTAGAAAAACCTTCAAACAAAACAATGTTAAAATGGACTTGGAACATTTTTAATGACTGCAAACAGACTTTAAAACATAGTAGAAAGTAAAAGAATAAAACAAAAACTGGATCACGCTTAAATTATGCATAATTTTGCAGTGAGTGTAGTCTGCAGGGGATTTTCCTCACTGTCTTTGTTTTCCCAACATTTCATTTCACACTGGGTCGGTGTGACCGCAAGTCATTTATGACCCTCTCTGCTCTGGAGTCCAGGTTTATTTTGGTTGATTTTTATTTGTGAACGCCCCACATCGGCCTTTTCAAATGCTGTTTTCAGCTAGAATCTACAGGACATACTTTATACATAAAGTTATTTTACTACAAACAAAACATGATCAGTGTATTCATGATAAATACAGGGACTCCAGAGGACTAAATAAACCATAGAATTACATTTATATGACTTTTGGGAACAATATTATTAGATCAGATGTAGTAATATTTCTGTAAAATATTAAACATAGCACAAGTCTTAACTGAAGGTGCACAAGATTAAAAACACCTTGTGAATTTAAATACACATCTTTCTCCACCCTCAAAGATTCCTGTAATGAATAGATTAATTAATTGTGATCTCTAAGTTGTTGAGGAGATTCTTCATAGATTAGTCAATTAAAAGTAATTTTCCCTTGTTCTGCAAAGCTACGGATGTAAGATAGTAACAATAATAACAAAATAAGTAATATCCACATAAAAAAGCAAGGATTAAAGTCTCGAAATATCTTGTCATTCTATACTTGTGCACTGTCGGACATTAAGCAGTTGGCAGCAGAATTCACCTTCAGATGAAACTGATGAAAAAATGTATCAGGGAATTCACTGTGAGAAGAAGGAGGAAGTGTCACTCCAATTTCGATGGCCATTATTTAAGGTTTCAACAGGAAAATAAATTTTAAAATTCATCAGTGATACAGATTCACATGCCATCATTTAAACTGTAGTTATGAGCAACAGGGGAAAGACAGGTCATGTTAGCCTCCGACTTATGATCCTGAGTCAGATATTGGGAAATTCTGTCAGAGAAAATTGGCAAAACCTAGTGAAAAGAACTACAGATATATGTCAACAAATTCACCGCCGCTGGCTGTTACATCAAAATAAAATCCGTTATTAACCCTCATACAATCCATTCAGATAATTTCCTGGAGCTACCTGCTGATTGTTTGTATCTGGTTTCACTTGATAATGAGCTGCTACAAATACGTAGGACAACAAAAGTAGTTAATTTAGGCTGTTCATCTTGAAATAATGTATGCAACCACATTATCCAAAATGCGTATTGGTGTTTGAATGAGCAGGATAATCAAGTTAAACTTTTTCAGTTTTTAACCTCTCCCTCCCTTGTATTTCACCTCTCGCTCAACTTGTCTTGATGATCATCATGTTTGGTTTAATTCTTGTTAAAATTATGTGAGTTCTCAACACCTGACAGAGAGCATTGTCCAGTTCCACCCTCAACCAGTAATTTGTCACCTAATTACAATAATCCTTCTGGTGACCCCTGACGACCCTGCTGACCCTCAGCCTGGTTAAAACAACCTAAACCACTTGACACAAAGTCTAAAAAGGTGAGGAATGACAAGTATGCTTGAAACAAGCACACACACATGCATACACACGAAGGAAGAGCGCGCGCGCGCACACACACACACACACACACACACACACACACACACACACACACACACACACACACACACACACACACATACACACACACACAGATGCATGCATGCATACACACACACACACACACACGCACAGCACTAACACGAGCCTTTTGTTTGCAACAGTGTGCTTGTCAGAGGAAAAAGCAACATTACAATGAGAGGATTAGGAGACTATTATGAAATTCTATGTGCTGCTGGAAGACCAGCTGGTTTTGTTGCAAAGAATCAATACCTGAAGACATCATGAAAAAGCAAAGCTTTCAGCTGGTATATAAATGAATTCAGCAGAAGATGAATTTGTCACACACCTTAAACCGATATATAGATACATGTGAGGTGAATGAGGTGGGCAAACAAAATGTGACAAACAGGATGTAAGGAAGAGGGCAAGAGTAAAATAACTTATCTTTCCAACTTTTTCATTTTATGCATTTACATTATATTTGCATGAAAATAGACAAGCTAAAACAGGCACTTTTGGACAGGCAGGTTCAAATACGTGTGTGCCATATTATGTATTGTTAATTGTTTTGCATGTGCGAGCTCATTTGTTTGCATATGTGCTTTCAAGTACATATGAGGAAAATCTCTAATATGGTAGGAGAAAATTCCCTAAATGATGAAAGAGAAGTTTATCGAATAAGCCCCATAAAAAGAAGAGGTAAAGTGATACACTTTCTGTGGGAATGCCCTGCAGAAAACTCTTTGGTTACAAATGCCCTCACAGAGATCCTTCAGGTTGATGTTCCTATATATCCTATGGTTTTTACACTAGGAGACAAAATACTTGAGTAATCTGTAAGGAAAAATGCATGAGTAAAGGCATGCCATGTTTTGTTTGCCAAGTTTAACCTTTGTCCTCACCTGTCAGATTTCCCACAACCAGCTGTATCTGTCACAGTGACATCACCACTATTCCCCTGCCCTACCGGCTGCTGGGCTCTGCCTTTCTGCTGGCTCTGCCTCCTGGATCTGATCTGAAGGTGGAGGAAACACAGGGAAGGTGAAGCACCTGGATGAGAGCAAAGGCAGATTTCTATGTGACTGGAACCCAGATGACTGGATGCTCGATCATAGTGAGGAGGTGTGTCTTGTTTCACAGTCACCACTCTCCTTAGTTTGTGTGATTAACCAGCATCAATGAGGGGTCGTTGAAAGGATGTGTTTTAATCACTTTTTGGATTTAACCTAGTGTGTGTGATGGCAAATTGGAGGTATACATAAGAGGCTTACTTTCAATCCCACTTATTTCTCTTGAAAAGAAAATAGCACACTGCATTTCTTTATTTGCTCTTTAGTTTTTTTTATGTGGGCCCAGAAATTATACTGATATTTACATAATGCCAGAATATGATGATGGAAGGGGAGTAAAATTAGAAATGTGAAAAGGAAAAACACAAAAGAGGAGAAAATATCTGGATTAAAATTTGCACCATCTTTTCCCAAAACCAAACCTCCTTGCTTTAGTCAGAGTAAGCCAGCAGAGTTGAAGGGGAGGCATGACGGAAGTTAGTTAGTGTTTTCCCCACTGATTTGGCTCATTTATCCACACACTCAGTAGTTGCAACAGTAGCAGTGACAGTGCCAATGGAGCCAGTTAAGGTGGCTATTTACTCCTTCTCAGAATCATAACACAGAGACATGACACATACAGATGGGCAACAAATTGAAGGAAAAACCAACATAAAGTGTCTTAGTAAGGTATTAGACCATTATGTACCACCAGACCAGCATCACTGGAGGGATGATCACTGCTCTTCCAAAACAAATCACCTCATTTGGTGTTTTGATGATGGTGGTCGAGAGTGCTGTCTAACACATCAGTCCAAAATCTCCCATAGATGTTCAATTGGGTTGCGATCTGGCGATTGTGAAGGCCGTACCATATGATTCACATCATTTTCATACTTCTCAAACCATTCAGTGAGCCCTCAAGCCCCATGGGTGAGGGGATTGTCATCCTGGAAGAGACCACTCCCATCAGGATAGAAATGTTTAATTCGTGTTTTCATTCATCTGCTCCCCACCTGTGGAACAAGCTTCCTGACTACATGAGGTCTGCTAAAATAGTCAGCTTGTTTAAATCTGGTCTTAAAACATTATTGATTTCTATGGCTTTCCAATAAATGATATACGTACGTAACCTCAAGCCATGAAGACAAAAAAAAATAACTACAACAAAATAACTTTTAAATGACATGACTGATGGATCAGAATGAATTCAAACCAATGCAATGAAAAGAATAACTGGTCATGTGGTGCTCATTTAGGTGCATGTTTTCGAGAGGTTCATTGTTGGCCATTTGATCTTTTGGACGAGTTGTTGTGGCTAGTAAAAATGCCAACTGTTGCTACAGCCCAACAACAGAGGCCTGCTTTTACAGTTTACTGCTGCACTAAAAAGTCAATCTTTACCTGAGCTTGTGTCAGTGAAGCTGAGGTCCGACTCCTGAAAACTCGTCCAGGTGCAGGACTACGCTGTCTGGGCTTGGCTTGTGTTTGTGAAATCTTCTCTTCAGCCCTCTGACGGCCCATTGGATCTAACAGGTACCGCTGGGCCAGACGCATCACCCGAGTCAGGACACTTTTAGCCCCTGCAACTGTGTCTGCGGGTACAAAAACAATGATTCAATATCTTTTTTACGGAGAATGACATTTAAGGTGGTATAAAAATGCAAATACTCCAACTTATTATAATCACATTCTCTTTATGTAGACATTCAAGGCCTGAGCACCACTCAATTACAAAATCCTGGGGAAAACCCTGTGATGATACTCTGGCGCATGTTGGAGTACCAAAATAAGTTATCATTCCATTACAGGCATACCCCTATTGAAATGCTTGCGTGTGTGTGTGTGTGTGTGTGTGTGTACGTGTGTTTTGCTGTGTGAATGTGTCCTTGTTATACACAAATGAATGTTATCAGTGGCTCACCATATTTACTCAGGGGGCAGAATCTGCCTGCTTAGGCAAGCTGTGAACACAAAGACCCACTTATACAATGTAGTGTCTGTGTTTGTGTGCAAGCACACTCATGCATACGATCACAGACACAGACACTGAAGCCATATCTCATGTTTATAACACAAGGAGTGCATGAGATTTAAACAGTGATTTACTATGTATTGTGTATTGGAAGGAGAAGTAATATGCTGTCCCACTTAAGAACATGAAGGGAAATCTAACTTCAATCTAACTTGATTTAACAACATGACGTTTTCTGGCAACTCTTGGCATCATCGTAGGGGTAACCTATGAAGGAAAATTGTCAAAATAACACCAGCATATCAAAATACATTTGCCTCTTTTTTTCTGAGTTCAAAACTATCAGCAAATCACACTAACGTCTGCTAACAAGATTCTACAGCCATGCTAGCGGCTCTGTGAGGCTTTACTTAGGCACAACAGGACATCAGGGTAAGCGCTAATGTAGAGAGCAACCATGCTAACATGCTGATGCTTAGCAGGTATAATGGTTACCATGTTCAGCACTTTTGTTTGCATTTGGTCACAAACTGAAATGTTGACCTGCTGATGACACTAGATAAAAAGTCAGAGGATCACCAAATGTATTATTCATGAATGGAACATGAATGGCTGAATCAAATTTCAGGGCAATCCATCCATTAGTTGTCAAGAATTCTTATTGAAAAGTATAATATCAAACTCATGGTGCCGCTAGTGGAAAAGTCAGAGGATCATCAGACTCTAAAGTTGCATTCATCCTCTTGATAACATATATATATGTACAAAATTTTATGGTGAAGAATAAGTCCTGAATTTATAATCTGAGCACCATGAATATGAGTAGAAAAGTTCATGCCATTCCATCCAATAGTTGTTGATATATTTGACTGAATTTATTAGGCTTCATCCTCTGGGTACCATAAATATCTGTACAAGATTTCATGGCAATCCATCAAACTATTACAATATTTCAGCCTTGACTAAGGAGGTGGGCCATCTGACCATCCCAAGAACCAGGCCAATATTATGGCTAAAAATATTTCTACCATTTTAACACGGACTTTCTATTTTGAAGAGAACAAAGCACATGCACAGTGCCAGCACAGCAAATGTGGCTAAATCAGAATGATCTGTATAAACAGGCATTTCACTTAATTGACTTACCTGGTTTAAAAATAGAGCACAGCTGGCTATCCTTTCTTTACGTGACAGAATTCGTTTAATTTGGCAACAGTGATAAAAGAGCAACAGTCTTGTTCTAACAAAAATTCTTTGACTTGGGGCAACTCTGCAGAAGGTATTTAGTATGTTTGGGCAAGTGGTGTACTCAGTGTACTGGCAAAACTGGAAGCCTGCGCTTGTTGTACAACAGAACTGCACTTCCGTCCGGTTAACATATTGTTAACAAGGTCTTAAGTTACCCAATTACATACAGTTTAGCTCAAAGATTACCAAAGAATATATTGTAACTGAATTATGATTTAATTCCACTGTTAGTCAGGTTTGTACTTTTCTTTAAGACTGCCCTATGCTGAACCTGCTGAATTGATTTAGTACCAGTGACAGCTTTTTATCTCTATTAGCTGGGATCATTCACCAGTCAGGCTAAGATGGATATGGATACGAGAGGTTTAGACCTGTTGTGTAGACTAATGTTGTAATAACACACATTAAAAACAGAGCAAATGCAAATGCACCCATCGAGAAGCATATGATAGACAAACTCACCTTTCTCAGTATTTTTTTCTCCTTCTGATGGCGCTGATACATTTTCTTCCTCTTTACCTCTGATTTGGCTGGAAAGTGTGTCCTTCTGCTTTTCACACTGTTCTAAAAAGGAAACCATCCAAAATTCAATACACAATAATATGGTTTACACTCTTAGGTGTGCAAGAGCAATAGCTCAATTGCAGTTGGAGCCTGTCTTCTGTAGACACATGCGCTAATGAACACATGAATAAAATATTTTTTTAATCAATTCACTTAAAAATGCTCTGTGTACTTTTCTTAAACAATGAACAAAAGTTATGTTTATATTTAGTGTTACTCACTAAATGTGTGTATTAACCCTAACCCAACCTAACAATGTGTTTAATGCATTCCTTTCCTAATAAAGCATTTGCAAAACCTATTTTTTAAGATATTTTTTACTGGCTTCACTACTGCAATTCTTAGTCACCTCCTCTTGTCTACCTGTGAAATAATATGAAGCCATTGGCAGGAATGTAACACACATCACCCACATACACGAACAAAACAGGGACCAATTATACAAACATACAAAACAGGTGCAAAAATGATGCACAGAGTGATACTATAGTGTGAATATTATTACCTAAAGTTTCAGTTAAGTGCAGTTATTCACTTATATGCCTGGAGTTAGATGAAAAGATTGATACCGCTCTCACATCTGTCTGTCTGTCGGGAGCAAGCAGTTGGTTAACTTGGCTTAGTTTAGTTTAGCATAAAGACTGGAAAGTGATAAAAGCTAGCCTGGCACTCACACACACTGTCCAAAGCTGACAAAATCCACTTACCAGCAGCTCTTTAGAAGGTAATAATTCTAATTACCTGTTCTTACACACAATAATCATTCTATTGTTCCTTCTTGCATAACGCCATCTTTTGAATTACATTCCATAATTGTTTTTTTTTTGTCACAGTTAGGCTCTTAAGTCCCTGCCATTTGTGTTCCTCAAGTCAGATTTAACCAGTCAGTGACTGAACCAGAGCTCACAAAACCAAAATCAATTATTTTCAAAAAACCTCTGATCCAGTTTTTTTAATTGTTAGATTTTTCACTGTTCCTGAGTAAGGCTGTGTGAGTTTGGTCATTTTGGGGGGCAGGTGATGCTGACTTCTAATTTTTCTAGTGTATATCAGTACTCAACACAAGCTTCAAGGAAAAGGCTTCCACCAAACAGGAAGAGCCAGTGATAAAGTGCGTCTCCCGGCTTAGCGTGAGGTTTTTGTAGAGTCCTGAGAAGGGTTATCTTTGATGTTAAAACAACTCAATTTCCCAGACACACCCTCCCGCCTCCTATAGCCCATGGCTCTCTCATGCCCCCCCCCCCTCCGACCTATCTCAATCACTGTCAGACATCGGTTAAGGAGAGGTTCCCTTCCACAGCCAAATGCCAACTTCAAAACACTGACTAGTCACAGCATGTCTCCTCTTAGCCACCCAAGGGCTAACTGGATAGGAACATATGGCATTAGCTCATCCACTCTTTTTTAAGGTGGGAAATTAGTCAGGTTTTGTGTGTCTGACATCACCTGTAGACTCTGTTTATGTCCAAATGTAACCCTCTCAGGGTATATGCAAGAATCCTGAAGTTAAATTCAATACCCTTTCAATATATTTTGAGACCTCAACATTTACTATAAATAGATTCTGAGATTGCGAAACTAAACCTTCTTAGTCTGTAACAACTACTATGGAGCACTGCGTCAATACAACAGAAGTCAAACAGGCTGGGAGGGAACAAAGCTCAAGACAATAAATTGAGTGACTGACCCAAAGGCAAGATTTATCAAAAGTAATGACAGTTATAGGCTCTCACACAGACACGCACACAACCAATTCAGCAAACCCTTGGCATACAAATTCTGTTTGATTTATTACCTTTTTATTGATTGAGTTAATTTGTTTTTAATACTTTTTAGCACCCTGCGGAAAACCTGCCTCTTTTAGCAATTCCACCCTTCTTTTAGAAGATTGGTTAAAAAGTCAGAAAATTCATTAAATATTACTTTCATAATATAGCTTTGCTGTATGTTCTGAGTTTCAACTAATGGACCATAAAGACTATGTATTAAGAATATAATCAGCCATAATTATAATGAGCTCACACATTGTAATATTTCTTTTTTTTTTATATATAGTACATGTTAAAAAGCACTAAAAAGTTACATAAACAAACTGAAAAATCTTCAAAGACGAATGTTTTCACAGAGCCAATATATTCAAATGCGTGCGCACACACACACACACACACACACACACACACACACACACACACACACACACACACACACACACACACACACACACACACACACACACACACACACACACACAGATGCATTAACATTGGTGAGCTCACCTGCACAGTGTCTGTATGACTCAGGGTTGTAATGAGAAGGTCTGAATGAGTGTGTGTGTGATTTACTGGCTTTGTGGAGGTATTTCTACCCTTACTGGAGCTGCCACCCAGCAGTCAGAGTTTCATTCTCACACAGAGTCAATACAACTTTTAAAGTGCTTTTGGGAAACTACATTGCACAGTGTGCATAAAAGTCAGCTATCTGATAAAATTTAATAGTTATTTATGAATTTTGTATAGCCCTTGACCAGTGCAAGTTCACGAGGGGCTGCAGACTATCACAGGATGTATTGGGTGGTAGATAGGTACACCCTGGAGCCAGTGGATCTGAAACAGCATTCTTGCTCTGAGCATGCTATCCAATAATAATCTTTATATATCTTTAGAAAACTTATTTATCTTTAAAATAATATATCATTTAAAAAAAAAGAAGAAAATATTTCATGAATGATGATTAGCCAGTAATACAGTAGAAAGGCAGTTACTTGGATTTAACCCTAACCCTATGTATTTGTCTTATTGACCTACCCTACCCTAAGAGGCTAATACAAGATGTTTGGCACCTTTTAACCATAATTGTAACTGGAGAGGCAAATGGGGTATAAAGAGTTCTGCCCTTCACCACAGAATATCTGTTGTGAATGAGTAGTCTAAAGAGCTGGAATAGACCCACAGCAGAGACCACAAGTAAGAGAAGAGAAGACTTTTTAAAGAGCCATGGCAAATTCTGTGTCGCTAACAAGTTTGACGGACGAGTTCAAGGACAGTTAAAATTTAGTGGGAATGTGGCTAGTGGTTAGACCACTGAGTCTGTACAGATAAGGAGGTATTTGCAGGTAGGAGACACAAACAGAAATTTTAGTAGTTAGAACAGTCTGTAATGCACTGCTGATTTCAAATTTTGAAGTTGGATTCTAGAATATAAAATCTCTGTGATCTGAGCGGATTTCAGAATCTTTTACCATTCCTCTGGGTCTAAGTATCTAAAGGGGACTTTTTGTGCTTTTCTCATTTGTATATTGTTGTCATGTTGGATGTTAAACACAACCAACGTATGTTAAAATGCTCCCTATAAGACGTGTGAAGGAATTTCTTCTACACACAAGGTCAGTCACAGGTCACTATGGTTTATCTCTAGTCTAGTGGGTGTGCAGCTGCTCCACTCCCATCAGCAGTAGCCATAGTAACCAAGGTTACAGCAAAGCTGTTATTGATAACAAGTGTTGGAAGATGTAAACATTTGAGGGAGATTTAGAGGTGCCTTAGTGTCCCAGGGACAGATAGTATGCATTGTCCATATGAGGACAAAAGTCAAAGATGATCGTCAACGTGAGTTCAGTAAGACATGAGATTACATTTAAATATCCAATAAAAGTTTCACACATATGAGAGATACAGAATAGCCTTATTGGAAATATTGAGCCAGGTAGAACATGTGGACTTATATACACCCTTTCCATTACATTACATTAGTTAACCTGTTAACGTCTCTTCTCGGTGCATCAAGCAACAACAAATACTTCTGCTTAAGACATCAAGTGTCTTCTGGAAACTCCTTCATCCAGCTCACAAGATTTTCATCACAAGACAAAGGCACAGGTTTCACTCTGCTGTGAAGGCTTTGACCAAAAATTCTTTTCTACTTTCTGGACCCTCTGACACACTGTTGTGGAATGTCAAGGTATCATTAGACACCATTTGATGATGTATGATTTGTATCTTATGGGCCTCATACAGCAGTGCATTTTTGTCTGGACTTTGCATTTCACCAAGGTGACTGGGTTCAGAAACCTCTGCTCCCCTGCCTGCTGGTCAGGACTATCGATTATGCTGCTACTCAAGGGCAGGCAGTTCCAATTTTATTGGTTCAGAGTGGTGATTCAGAACCTCAAACCAAGTACGTCCCTAAAACCTTTTTTCTTTGTGGCTGATTTTCAGTAGCCCACACATCCTGTTAAATAGATGCTTCTTCATTCAATTCAATTTTATCTGGATTTTATCTAGATGGCCCTAATGAAACAGTATAATATACTGTACATCTTACACTCAATCTGCCATGTTTTACATGTTATCTCAGTGACCTGATGAAGCTTATGTTTGATGAGGTGTTCCTGGAATCACCAGACTCTCCTCACAGCATGAGAGACAATCAGAGAAGTAAGCAATCACTGGGTGGGTGTCGTGCTTCAGTCAAGTGATGACCTAGAGACAGCATAGACCCCCCGAAACAAGAATATGAACCTGAAAATGAGCATAATGTTCCTTTTAACTTACTGTAGTGTCAAATACTACGCCCAGAGTTGTTGTGAGTTAAAACTGGCAAATTTTGCCAGACTGAAGACATTTTTTTCATGCTCTACTTCAGTTTACTGGCTTTTGAAATGGTCTTCTTTACTTTGAAAAGTCACATAAATATTTAATTAAACAAGTTATTTAAACTCATTACAATATAACAGAAACTGGCTTAGGATAAAAGAAAGTGCACCAAATTAATGAATCTTGGATCCTGTTCAGCCTTAATTGCTACCATTGTAACATAACCAGCCTGGCCTTTACATTCTAAACAAACAGCAGCTTGTTGTAGCATAGCTTGTTCTGCAGCATTAAGTGAGAAGATCAAGTAACACTACTTTACTGGGTAGAAGGGCAAAATATAACTATCCAGCCTTTTAAATTAATGTTATAGGTGAAACACAGTGGCAAGAAAATCTGTGAACCCTTTGG